ATAGCCTTAAGGCAATTTCTTGGAGAAACGTAGCTGAGATGTTAGAAAAGACACATAATTTTATTGTGGACCAAAGACAAATGAAAAACCATTATGACTACCTCAAAGGCAAGTGTATGGAGCTTGGTCGGAATTGAAAAACAAAACTAGAAATATCTATGATGCACAACAAAGTTCTTTAAGTTGTCTGAAGAGGAATGGCAAATGGAAACAAATGTCATATTTTATTTTCCTATTTCTTACATTGTACATTGTTCTTTGTATTTATGACAAATATATTTACTGTAAACAGTCCAATAAATATGTTAAAAAGTTGAGGATTGCACCACTACCATTTATAGATCTTTGTGTACAACTTTTCGACGGAGTTGCCTCCATGGGCGTTGGAAGTTGGGGGCCAACCTCTTTTGTTCTTAATCCTATATGCATTACTCCCCAAACACAAGAGCAACAAAGTTCAAAAGCATCGTCTACACGAGTTGCTCTTCAAACACAAGAGTAACAAAGTTAAGAATCATTGCCTTTGGTACAAGAGTCTTCTTGGCGTTCTTAATCTAAAAGAAAAAAATGAAAAAATGTTCAACAAAGCAGTTCCATAAATGATGAGGAACTATCTTATCACTTCTATGCAAAATGTTTTGGATGAACAATTTGTGGAATCTGAGATAGGTACTTGCATCGAAACACTGGAGAAATTTAGTTGGGGAAGCCTGTTGTATGAGGCAACACTTCATCTTTATAGTCTAGGCCTTGATTACAAGAAGATTTGGTTGTGCTTGAAGGAGGAGAAGTGTGAGGGTTGGGTTATGTTCACGAGACGTCAACTTGGGCTTATATAATTATTGGGGTGTTTGTTTGGACAATAAAAGATGTTTTTATGTTCCCTTTTGAAACCTTAGATGGTTTTATACGCACATTATATTTTTTGATGGGAGTTTTGAAACCTTAGATGGTTTATATGTACATTAGATGTTTTGATGTGCTCTTTTGAAACCTTAGATGGTTTATATGCACAATAGACGTTTGTCATTGTTTGAATATTAGATGATGTTTGTTGGTTTTATATAACTTTTATTGATGATTGCTATGATCAATGTTATCTTTAAAAATAATGATGTATATTTTGTTTGAATTTTGGAAAATGTTTGTTGTTACTTGTATAAATTCTTGCCGGTTAATTTTATTGACGATTTCTTCTTGTGTTTTGTTTTTGCCAGGTTATGGATAGGAATAAGTTAATTTTGGTTGTGGTGGTGGTTTATTTGTATTTGAAAAAAAATATATTCATCAAGAATAAAAAGGATAAGAGACAACACTTTAGCATTAAGTAGATATGCGTATACACAAAAAATAATAAGTGGATCATATATGCAATGTCATGAACTGATGCATCACGTGACTCATACATATTAGTATGCAATTATAAGAAAAAATTGGGTGCAATCAAGTAGGTATTTGAGCATCGAAGAGAATATGGCCATATTTTTTTTACAGTAACTGGTCATAATGAAAATTTTAGAATGGTTAAACGAAGATTTCAACACTCTACGCAAGCCATTAATAATTTTTTTTTGAAGTACTAAGAGGAATGATGGACGCGAGAGAAGAAGTCGTAAGGCCAACAGTTAGAAATCAAAGGAATGTTTAAAGCCTTTTAAACAAACAACATAAAATAAACGCAGTGGAAAAAACAAAAACTTTTTGTAAAACGATTTCCAAAAGCCAAGATCTGATCGAGTAGAATAGATCAACCAAAAAATAGAACTAAGAACGACAAGATCTGAATCTTATCTCTTAGATCTGGAAGAATCTGATGTAGAAACAAGCGTCCAAGCAAAAACGTCTCTATCAGTATCCACATGAGCGATACCAATCCGATGCTAGTCCGTACTTCAATCAAAACAGAACTTCTCTTCTTGACTGAGAATTGATCCAAGGAAGTATAGAGAGCAATAGAGGAGGAGATTAGGTTAAATCCTAATATCCTAAATCATATTTCTTTTATAACCGTTTACGTGAGCTTTTTCATCATATGAACCCTAAACCTTTTCTTTTTAGTTTAATTAACTTGGCCTATTTAATATTATTTAAACTCTCTTAAACAATAAAACCCTTTAATCAGTTCCATAAAGACCAACATATCATAGGGACCAAGTACATAATTTACTCTATTTAATATGGTAGCTTATAATTAAATGAGTAAACTACAAATTTGGTCAGAGTTCTTTGTTGAAAATAACACTTTTCATTCTTACAGTTTCGAAATTAGAAGATGGCTATCATTGTTTGTAAAAACGTCTGAATTTAGCCCCTTTCGCTAACGTTTGTTAAAAAATTCCGTTGAGTGAAAGGCGTTTTCGTCTCTTTCGTCTTTTACTTAAGAAAAATCAATCTTATGATTTTGATTCATGTGGTTTTTGATTGGGTAAAAGACAAAAAAAAAAATCTTTAAAAAGAACGAAAATGTCTTTCATTTAATAGAATTTTTATAATGAAATCCAAACATTTTTACAAATCATGATGACTATTTGTGATATCACAACTTCAAGGACAAAATCTGTTATTTTTGACAAACTACATGGCCGAAACTATTTACCCTTATTTATTTGGTGTTTTCTTTATTTAATGAAATTTGGTAATATGTGATATGAATTTAAATTCATGTTTCGTATGAAATTGTATTTAGGGGGTGTTTGAAATTGTTTATAAAAACAACTTACTGACTTATTTTAGCGTGACACCGACAATAAACACTTTTGAGTGTTTGGTTAAACAACTTATACCGGTGCCAAACCGGTAATAAGAAGTTTTTGAAGAAGTTAAACTCTTATAACTTATAATAAGTTAATAAGAAAACAAATTACAATTTGACCACCTATTCCATCGTAATTGATTACAAATATATTGTATAATAATAATGACATAAACATCTGGTTACAGTAACAACATGACAAATTGAATTTTGTTTTATGAAGAATTAAATGATTAACATATACTTGTTTTTATATGTGATTAGGATGATGGATTGGACCCTTAAATTGTTGGATTTTTAAATTGTTGGATTTTAATGAATCCTAAAGCATTTGTTACTAAATGAAATTTCCAAAGAGCTTACAAACATATCAATCTTTCAAACATTTTATTATTAAATAAATATGATGATATGATATTTCTTCATAATTATTTTAATAACTAATGAATTTTTTAGTAATAAAAACTACTGATTCACTCGTTACAGTTAATCTTTAAAGCGACTCAGCAACATGTCATATATTTTTTATGTGCAAAATCTGTTCTCATACGTATCTCTTTGTAATTGTGGTAATAAATTAAAATGAAACTGTTAATAATCGATTCTTATAAGTATTGATAACGTGGTCACCAGTTATATCATAATTATTATCAACATGTTAAATTTTATTATAATTTTTAACTATACAATATTAAGGGATTGTTTACCAAATTTTTTATTAAGTCTTGTATGGATAAATTTGTCTGTCCGGACAAATGAGTGTTGTTGTTTTTTTTTTTTTTTGAACCAACAGTCTAAATAACATAAATGACCGATTTAGCCCCCCCCCCCAATATTAATTATTTGAACATCAAAACAAAAAATCATAAAGAGGTTGACGATGGGGTGTCTCATTTGGGAAGGAGGCGATGCTTTAAATAAGAGGTAGAGGTGCCATTTTTGTGGCTGAATGGAGATAACACACAATTTCTATCTGTGCGATTAAGTCATGTTCTGTGCGAATAAGCCGTAAGTAAACAACCCAAATGAACTGTGCGAATAAGCCAGATAGACCAGTAAGCCTAATTAAGCCGCAAGTAAACAGCCCCTAAAATCAAAAGATGTCACATAAATTGAAACTCATATATCAGATAAAATATCTAAAATAAAAATAAGTGAACATTTGTTATATCAATCGAGTGCAAAATTTGGGCAACACTTGATTACCAATAATTTTAACCGGCTTTACACAGAACCTGCCTCTAATTAAGGGTGCTTATGAGTTGGGTTGATCGGGTTGAAGATATTTGAACAACTCAACCTAATGCTTGCAGTTTGAAAAATCTTAACCCAACCCAACCGAAACCAAAGTGCAACCCAACCCAACCTAAACCGTACGGGTTGGTCGGGTTAGTTGGTTTGGTCGTGTTGATACTTTGATACATTAAAATATTCTTCTAACCTTGAATATGTCATTTACTCATATTTTTTTCATCATTAACCATTTAATACAACTTATCCATACTTCTTACGTATATCACATTCAGTTAATTTTCTCAATTTACATATATATGTTCACAGTTACTAAACATATATACGAATAGAATAGATTGAAAATATGTGCATATGAAGAGCGTACGTGATAGTGTAATTGTCTAATGTATATATTAATAGAAATTCAACAATTATATTAAATCCAATAAATAAAATGATATCGGGTTTATCGAGTTGGGTTGAGTTCAAATAATAATAATCCAATATTAACCCAATACTTACGGTTTGAAAATTTTACAACTCGATTAGACATCAGGTTGCTTCGAGTTAAGTTATTTCACATTGGGTTGATCGGGTTCGTTAGATTTTTGAGCACCCCTACCTCTAATGACATCAATGTAAGGAGGTATTTCTCGGCTCACTCAACAACCAAGACTAACAGAAGGTCTGTGATTCTAACTTATCTTGTATCTAACCACTTCATATTTTTATCAATTTAGTTATTAATCATTATATTAAATAAAAATGAAAACATGTTTTTGTTATCTAGATTTTATTTATCTCTTAATAGTTATATATCATTTTATACTCTATTTTGAAAACATCTTAATCATTTTACATCAAATCATTCAACAATTCTCAAACACCACTTTCGTTAACATGAATCAAGTTTTTTTTTATATGTGTGGTTTGAAGAAACCGAAAGGAAAAAGGGTTTTTCTTTTGAACGTTATTGCCGGTAAAATCCAACCCACACAGGTCGCTGAATCCATTGTTCACCCTTAAAAACGCACTAACTGTGTGTGTTCCCACCACCGGTCGCCGCCTGCTAGTGGCCGCCTCAGCCGTATCTTCACTTCCAGGAACCTTCCTGATTCACTGATCCGGCATATAACTCCTTCTAGTACACGCATCTCCACTTCAATCAGTTTCTGATCTTCAACTTACAACCCTTTCTTCTCTAATTCTCTCTGCACCGTGTCCCTTAAAGCAACCAGTTGGAGGTAAACTTCCACGAGTTCATTTTATGTATGAATTTTTTGATTTTAGGTTTTAAATTTATGATTGTGTAGACTTTTATCACTTTTTACATCCAATTTTCTTCTATGCGAGTTCATTTTATGTCTGAATTTTTATGATTTCTTCTTCAGTAATTAGGGTTTTTGCGTGTGTTTTGATGCTCTTTTTCATTGTATATGACGAGATAAGATTGATTCTTGTTAATTTTGTTCTTTTGTTTTCATGAAATTAATATTTTTTGTGTTTTTTGATGCGTTTCAATCAACCTAGATCTGTTAGATATTTTTTCTTCTTCTTTAGATCTTAAATTATTAATTGATTGTGTTTTTTAAGCATTCAAAGTTGGATTGAGCCTGTAAATTTTGTTATTTGTAACTTATTTGTTTCTCTGTTCATAATGAGTGGGGGATTACGTTCTTAATATCGGAGCCTTATGCAACATTACATGATTTCTGTTGTATATTTTGTTGTTTGCAGGTTTTACTTAGAAACTTCTCTTAAGGCTGGTCGTTTTTTTGTAGTGTGTATGAAGGGTTGGGTTCTGCATACTGGTAATTCCGGTGCCTTCATGCTTGTTGAGGCTCAGTTTTCTAATATTTTGTCAGTGAGATTAAAGGGTGTATGGTGATGGAGCCACGACAAAATGAATTCTCTGATCATATTAATGGTTTCACGTTGTATGATGAGGATATCTTACCCATCTTTGATCAGAATCCAGGCCTTGCCAATGAATACAAATTCAAAGATGAACATTTAGATCTCAGCTTCTTGGAGCATCCTTACACTGCACCAGATCCTAACCCTGGTTCTTTAAGTGTTTCCCCGGGCATGCTTGCACAAGTGGAATCTCCTGATGAGTTCAATGATTATGTGTTTAAGTTTATAGACCAGATTCTTGTGGAAGAGGATGATGAGGACATACAGAGTATGTTTTGTGACCCTTTGGATCTACAAGCCACTGAGCGATCATTGTATCAAGTCCTTGGTGAAGCATACCCCTCATCTTCTCAACCACCTCTTACATTAAGCCCAAATGTTGAAAACACAGAAGATAATGTTTTTGGGAGTTCTGGTGAGTATAGTACAAACAGCAGCACAAGTAATAGCAACTCCACTCATCCTGATTGGCCTGGTAGTTATACTTTTGATTCCTTACCGCCATTTACTAAAACTCAGTCCCTTGAGAACCCCCCGTTGTGGTCATTTGGCTCCACCACTAGTGATGTCGGTGGCACAATGGATGAAATGCTAAGCACACAGATTGCGCAGAATATATTCACTGATAGTGAGTCTATCAAGCAATTCAACAAAGGGATGGAGGAAGCTAGTAAATTCCTGCCTTCTAGTAAACCTCTGGTCATTGATTTGGATGATTATGACTTGCCTTCAGATTCAAGAGATGCTCCTCCCGAGGTTGTAGTGAAGGAGGAGAAGGTTGAGAAAGAAAAGCCATCGAATGGGGTTAGGGGAAGGAAGCATTATCAGTTGGAGGACAATGATTATCCGGAAGAAAGAAGTAGCAAGCAGTCTGCTGTTTATGTGGAAGAGGATGAATTGTCCGAGATGTTTGATAGAGTCCTTCTTGGTGCTGATGCTAATGGCAAACCCATTGCTTGTTGTAAAGAACCTCCTATTCTCGTAGACAACAAATCACAGAAAAATGGACTAGTGGTTGGCTCTAATAACGGCCGGAATGCTCATCCTCAAAGAAAAAAGACTAATGAAGCTGTCGATATTAGCACCCTGTTACTCAGCTGTGCGCAATCAGTTGCTGTTGGTGATCGCAGGACTGCAAACGAGCAACTGAACCAGATAAGACAGCATGCTTCTACTTCTGGCGATGCTTCACAGAGGTTAGCTCATGTATTTGCTATTGGTATCGAAGCTCGCTTGGCTGGCACTGGTTCTCAGCTCTATGCAGCTAAAAGTGCATTCCGGATCTCGGCTGCTGAGAAGCTGCAAGCATATCAGGTGTATCTTTCAGCCTGCCCTTTCAAGAAGATCGCCATGTTCTTTGCTAACAAAATGATATATGAAGCATCTTCAAATTCGTCAACTCTTCATATAGTTGACTTTGGTATTGCTTATGGATTTCAATGGCCCATCCTGATTAAGCATCTTTCAGAGAGACCCGGTGGGGCCCCTAAGTTGAGGATTACTGGAATAGAGTTCCCCCAACCTGGGTTTAGGCCGGCTGAGCGGTTAGAGGAGACAGGGCGTCGTTTAGCCAATTATTGTGAGCGGTTCAATGTTTCATTCGAGTATAATGCCATAGCAAGTCAAAATTGGGATACAATTAAAATTGACGACCTAAAGCTCCAGAGAAATGAGTTTTTAGCGGTGAACACTTTGATCCGATTCAAGAACTTGCTTGACGAGACGGTTGTGGTAGAGAGTCCAAGAGATAAGGTTCTGAAGCTGATTAGGGATATGAAGCCAGATATATTTGTTCATGGAGTCGTTAACGGAAGTTATAGTGCTCCATTCTTTGTGACTCGTTTCAGGGAGACCCTTTTTCACTACTCTGCTTTGTTTGATATGTTTGATGCTACTATAGAGCGTGAGAATGAGCACAGATTGAATTTCGAGAAGGAGTTTTACGGGCGTGAAGCTATGAACGTGATAGCGTGTGAAGGTGCTGATCGGGTGGAGAGGCCTGAAACGTACAAGCAATGGCAGGTTCGAATATCGAGGGCTGGATTCAAGATGAAACCGTTGAACCAGGAGATAGTATCGAAATTGAGATGTAAAGTGAGGGGAGGGTATCATAAAGATTTCGTATTTGATGAAGATGGGAAATGGATATTACAGGGATGGAAGGGACGGATTCTGTATGCGAGTTCATGTTGGGTACCAGCATAGGAGGAGTTGTAGTCGTTGTCGTAGTCGTCATCATCATCATGATGTTCAAACTGAAGCTCTTCTGATGGAAGGTATGATTGCCTGCTTGCCTCAATTTATCTCAAGGTAGATGGTTATTGGTATTCATGTGGCCATATTGCTTTAAAATGGACATATATATATATATATATATATGCATATGTAGTTAAGTAAATGATCTAATAAGAGTATTGTGTAGAAGAGAGTGATGATGTATAATTTTGGCTGCTACTTTAAGGGAGAATATTTGGTTAGAAGCTGATTTCTGATGGGTGGTATTTATGGAGTTGACTTTTGTAGTTTTCAAGTTCTTTGTGGAGGTCAAGTTTGTATTCACCTTTCCCTTCATAGTCCACATTCGGGTGGGTGGGATATACGGGATGGGTTTGGTTTCGTTTACTTTTGGTTTTGATTTAAAGCTTGTGATTGTAAAAGTGAAAATGTGTGTGACCAAGAATATGGTGTGGTGGAACAGGTTGTTTTTGCTTGGAAGATGGTGGTTTTTGTTGAGAAAATTATGTGTATAATTTTTTCTATCTAATAAAGTTGTATATATATAAAAGAAGGTTCAAACAAGAACTTTAACTATTTAAGAAAACAAGAAAAATGTTGTTAATATATAAAATAACTTGTGATTTTACATTAATGTCAAAAAAAAATGGAAGCGGACGACTTTGTATGATTTTTGTCGTGCTGAATCATGTATGATTTTGTATGCGAGTCATATATGATTTTGTATATTAGAGCAACTCCAATCGAACGGTAAAATCCTAGTTTTGCCGTTCTTTTGGATCCAACTGAACGGTATAAACGGCATCAATTTGCCAGAGGCAATTTTTGAACGGCAAATTTGCCGCGGAAGACTTGGACACCAAAAAGGTGGTCCCCACCACCATTCCTAAATAATTAATTTTTCTGGATAAATTATAAATAAATAATTACAAATATTAAAAATAATAAATAAAATATATTATTTTAATGTCTGGTCCACAAATTTGGTGTTTTTTTATAGTGTGATTGGAATTGAGTTTTTTTGTTTTTGTTTATGGGCCCACCATATTTAATATTTTTTTGGTGATAAGGTTGGAGTTGCTCTTAACGACCATTTTCTTGTTTTCTTAAATAGTTAGCACCTGCTCTTATATATATATATATATATATATATATATATATATATATATATATATAGGGGAGCGATCAAATGCAAGCCACTCAATTTGTACAAACCGTGCAAACCGCATTCAACCAATCATAATTTTTTATTTTGTTCATATTTTTGTAATTATGAGAGGTTGATCGATCATTTTTATTGTGGAGGGTGTTAATCATAGATATTATCATCTTCATTATTTTAATTTTAGAGAAATACATGAAACAGTTTCATTAATGTTAAAGAAATATATGAAACAGTTTCATTAAGTATTATATGAAACAATTTCACAACCATATATGAAACAACTTCATCAAAAAAGTATTATATGAAACAATTTCACAAGATTAAACAATTTCATGAAAAACTTTCATAAGATTAAACAATGAAATCGACAGATGAAGGTGGTTTGCACGGTTTACACAAATGAAGGCGGTTTTCATATGATCACTCCTATATATATATA